GCTGTCAAAGTTTTGGAGGGAAGCCGAAGACAAAATTTGCACTACTACAAACGTGTTTAAAATTATGACAATTAAAACAGTATGATAAGAAATACCAGTTGGAAATAGGCCTATCAAGAAGCTGGAAGGTGGATTGAGTTACTGGATTTCGTCCGTGACAATTCGCTGAACTACGGTAAGTGTGACTGAAAAAGAGAAAGGGCGGTGCGATGTGGTACATTTAGGGGTCACAATAATGAGTGATGCTGTCAGTCCAACATCCTGGTCCCTCCAAAGGCCGCCAAACAGTCCTTTCCTCTTTAAAATTCGCTATTTAGATCTCACATCAACTGTAGCAAATAACAAGGAGAAAAAGGCCAGAATTTAGGGGAAGAGATAAAAGATGAACACTACTGGCTGCTGGACAGAGGTGTGCTGACAGAGAACAACAAACTTTTGAATCCCTGGTGGTCATGAGCAAGAGGAAAATTTCACATCTGCAAGGCTGGATACTTTCCTCTGCTATTGACTTTGGAAAATTAGCACACTTTAGAGGCTTTGCTGAGGAGAAGTGGAATTTCAACCACTGACTTTCCCATGGTAATCTTTTTTGAGACCTCGGTCAAAGGTCAGCAGTCATGCTTGGTGTGTAATTTCATAAGCATTGGCGTTTTTTTGTTGTATTCCTGTTTCATTATTGTTAATGTCTGTGAAATATATTTTTACTTTAAAGGTTTTAAGGTTATTTTTTTTTTTCATCTAAAAGGGCATACTTTAGGCTATAACACTCTGTGCATTAGGAATGTAAAAAACAAATAGGTATGTGACAATGTGACTCTATTATTACCAACTGTGTTATTAGGCCAGGCATTAGCCTCTGGGGCCAATAAGAATTGTTGCTTTTTGTGACAAATCAACGTAACAAGAGACATGGGTGGAATATTCTCGCTGGCACTGTGAGCACAGCTCCAGTTTCAGTTTTGGGAAATTATCAACACACCTTATGCTGTAAAATTATACCGTGATGATGGACGGCAGCCCTCGCCTGCTTTGTAGACCCCACAATTATTATTGTTCGCGAGCTGGAGAACTTCAAAAGAGATGCCTGAGTGACGTCACCGCACGTTCCACAATATTATTACAGAGAGAGAGAGCAAGCGAGCGCTATTATCCCTCACCTCGGACGATGAACAGAGTAGTTGTAGCAAAAGGACCCTGAGAAAGTATTTTACATTGGTAAGTTGCGAAAATTAATTTATAATTTAATATGCATATCAGAAGATCCTTTGAATGCTGAATTTAACTACAATAACGCTAAGTGACTTCCTTTGTATGTTAAACGCGTTGGCTAATATATTTAAGTTTGACTATTGTGAACTAAGTTTAACTAAAGTAACTACTTTTTATGTCTCTTAATGTATAGCTAGTTACTTTTGTTTCTGCAATCGTCCATTTAGCCGCTAACTGTATGACAACCAGTTATGGCGAGCAAATCAAATTCTTTTTAAAATGAATCGGACTTTAAAAGTAGGTTACTAAAAGATAAATTTGTGTTGCGTTAGGTTTGTTAAATGAACTCATTTCTGATATTTATTCACATCTTGGCATGTCTTAAAATGTAGGACCCTGTTGTAAATCTGTGGGATACAGGGGAACACCGTGAATATGAGGAGTGTACGCCATCTGCTGGTTTTTCTTATGCACCTGATCCTTGGAAGCTTTGCACAGAGATACTCCAATGGCTATTATTATCAGGACATTGTTAATGGAAATGGAAATGGGAATGCAAATAAGGAGAGTAAGTTGATTTATTTATGAGTTGCTCTTGACATTTTCACGTGTTTACAAGTGTGCAAAATAACAAACCAGCTAGCCCTGTTCCAAAAACTAAAATTGCTTTAAAGATTTTGTATTATTAATATTATTTAAAATTGAAGAACAAACATTTTCTATAGCCTCCCTGAATTTAATTATATATATATATATATATATATATATATATATATATATATATATATATATAGATAGATATCTATATATATCCATAGATATATATTTAGGCCTACTCATTTAATGTTGTTTTTTATTTATTTTTTTTTAGTATACTTCCACAAGATCCGTCTTCACGTTGAATCTCCTGAGTCTTTTGTGTCAGCTGTTCAGGGCAGTAATGTCACGCTGCCCTGTCATTACCGCTACGAGCCCGTGCTCAGTGCGCCCCGCCGAACTCGGGTCAAGTGGTTCTGGCTGCCCGTGAACGGCGGAGGGCAGGAACGTGACGTCATGGTGGCCATCGGCACACGTCACCGGAGTTACGGAGACTTCAAAGGACGCGTGCGGCTCCGCCGGAGCGTCCCAGGCGATGCTTCCCTTGTCATCAACCCGATACAGTCCGACGATACCGGCCGTTACCGTTGTGAAATTATTGATGGTCTCGAGGACGAGAGCGTGACTGTACAGCTTAAGTTTCGAGGTACGTCATGAGCTCAGTCCGCTTTACCTAAGCAATATAATTTTTATTTTATTATTTTTTTGCGATATTATTATTATTTTTTTTAAGTATGCACTGCAGTAGGCTACAGTTTCTTCAGTGGTGCATTGTGCTCCTGTGCTTCACAGGTGTGGTGTTCCCCTACTTCTCCCCAAGGGGGCGCTATCTGATGAACTTTCATGAGGCTAAGGAGGCATGCGAGAAGCAAGATGCACACCTGGCTACCTTTGAGCAGCTCTTTGCTGCTTGGCAGGAAGGTCTGGACTGGTGTAACGCTGGGTGGCTTGTTGATGGGACGGCACAATATCCTGTCTCAGTGCCACGAGAGGCTTGTGGTGGCACCGACCTGGCAGCTGGTGTACGGAGCTATGGCGTTCGAGACAAAAATCTGGACCGGTTTGATGCCTTCTGCTTCACCTCGTCCATTAGAGGTAATAATGTTTGTTGCATATTTACACCGACAAGTGTAGTTTTTTATTATTTGATATACCTTTGCATAACTTCATCCAGTCTTGGCTTAGGCTACATGTGTTTCCATATAGCCTAATCTTTAACAACATATGTTTAAAATTTCCCGTAGCTGTCCTTTCAACAAGTGTTTTATATTTTAAATCAGACCAAGATGATTAATAGTAAATTCCCCTCAGTATATTGTAATTGTGACTGCATAGCTCATTCTGAAAAAAATCAACCTGCCAACAAGCATTATTAATAAAATGGCTTCTTCCCCATGACTTTTAATCAGTCATGCATATATATTTTAAAGATGTGTGCCTTGATATGCCAGTTATATTTTGCTTCTGCAGTCTATCTGGGGTCAATTATTGGCATTCAATTCTGAGGTGAGGTCATATTTGTACAAGTCACCAAATATGATGCGAAAATACCTTATGTCTTTCTTTAACTTCAGGAGAGGTCTACTTCTTGCAACATCCTATCCAACTAAATTTCACTGAAGCGGTGGAGGCCTGTCAGAACGATGGAGGTGACATTGCTAAAGTTGGCCAGTTATATGCGGCCTGGAGGTTTGTGGGATTTGACCAGTGTGATGCGGGCTGGTTGGCTGACGGTAGTGTACGTTACCCAATCATCAAACCCAGGGTGAACTGTGGTACATCAGAACCAGGTGTGCGCAGCTTTGGCTTCCCTCCGAAGCATTTAAAACATGGCGTGTATTGCTACAAAGTCCGCTGGTAAACTGTACAATTCATTTCAAATGTATAAACACTTCTGTGAAAACCACAAACTACAGTTTAGTACTACACTACTGATATTCAAATCATAAGGTTTGTATTGTGTCTTGATTTGAAATTAAATGTCCTGGAATTCCCCTTAAAATAATTTACCGCAAAACTACATTCCCAGTGCTGATTTGGATTTACACTTGGTAAATCCAAGGTTAAAACTAGCTTTGTGTGGTTATACATTTCATTCAGCATAGCTCTACAATGTTCTCTTTAGGGTTAAAGCCTGAAATTTGTGGTGGGTCTTTTAAAAAATGTTTTTTTTTATGATTTGATTTCTTGAATTATATAGATTTTATTAATAAAATCTCAGTTAGTCAGTGCCATCTGCTAGTATCACATGTATGCATGACTTACTATCATATGAGACGTCGTCATCTGAAAAGCCAAATGTCTTGCCAATAAATAGTTTTTCCCAACACGTATTCTGTATGTGTTTACTTACAGCCATTTAAAATGTGCAGACCATCCTATAAATCACGTAGACAGGCAGACAAGGCCGGTTTGTGTTTTAGAATAAATCATCCTTCCCGTGCTCTTTATGACATTTGGGTAGTTTCTTATCCTGACCAACAGGGGGCGCGGTATAATGACTCAGCGGGATCGCTCAGAGAATTAAGACAAACAACAACTCTCTCAGTCAGAGCAAACCGCCGACATCATTCATAACGGTGTCGCTGTTTAACAAATATGGGAGAGGGTATGATTATCCCACCCTTATTTCCACAGGATTTCAGGATGCTTTGGCCTCAAAGTTGTGCCTTATTTACACCTGCTTCCCAAACATGGATGGAGGGCGGGGGAGGCACATGAAAAGCCAGCAGTGTTCCCCAGTCTCGCTTTTTCACTCAGCTAAATGCACATAAAGATGCACAGTGTTAGGTAAGAGAGGTGTATTCATCAGCTTTCAGGATTTTCCTTTCCCTTGAGAAAATGTCATAGACACGGTGTTGTTTGCCGTATAATTGAAGTCTTGTGTGTGTTGAGTAATGTTGGGTGAATGTCCACATGAACTGTTTTGACCGGTGTCTCATCAATACTTTTTTAAAGAAAGAAAAACACTGTCAGAAAAAATGGCACAAAAGCTGTCTCAGGGTACTAATATGTACACTTTTGATACCAATACATTTGAGGTTCTAATATATGTACTCTTTTGGTACAAAGGTGCAGGGGTACCACCCCAGTGACAGCTTTTGAACCATTTGGTAACAGAGTGTACCATAAATAGGCCTATCACAATATCACTCCAGAAGTTTGTCAAATGATACATCAAACGATAAACAATGTTGAAAATGAAGACAAAAATCATCTGTACACTTTATTTTCTACCTTAACACCATTTGTTTATATGTAATCACAATGACTTTGAGGTGAATTTGTTACAAGTGCCACTTGATTTAACATTTTCTAACACAATGCAATTTACACAGTTAGGGCCTAATTTGTCCAAATTTGGTGCCACTGTGTATAATTCAGGGTTCCCAGTGCTAATATGAAAATATAACAAATGTCAACAACAACCACAAAAATAGTCCTTAAATTGTAATAAACACATTTATATTTATATTGGCCATTTATTTTCAGTATCCAAAGAATAGTAATCATGAATGATTGAAAATGTCATGGAAAAGTTATGGAAATGCATTGTTCATGATGTGGGAACCCTGTATAGAGTAAACATTAAGACATTAGGGAAGAAAAAAAAACAAGTTCTACCTAGTGAAAACAGAACAGTTTCAACAACTTACATGTTAGAAAGTTTTAATGTTAAAATATTTTCCATCCTAGTTTTATACGCAGAAAAATACTATAAGTTATTGGTAGGTTTATTTCCCCATAAAGTCTGAAGCTGAACACATTGTGACTGTTTGAACATCCGGACAACAGCAACATTGGCTCAACCAATGGCATAAATTTGGGGTGGGATTATCTGTTTGGCTGACCAATGACAATGATGGATGGAATGTTTGGAAAGGCTTTTTGAAAACAGCCATATTTTTGCTACTTGGTTTTTGTGTTCCAGTGGTTGGTTTTTAACCAGTCTCTGGTATTAAAAGTAAAACACATTTATTCACTCTCGTTTAGTCTGTTTATTTCAGGGGTACAAGGACCGAAATGAGCTCAGCATAGAGATGACAGTGACAGAGTGCAAAATGAGAGATGGATATTGCTGGGAACAGAGCAATTCCAGGGTCGCTGTATTGGAAACGATTGACTCTGTCAATCAAATGTTGTGGGGCACACTTAGTGTGTTGGATTAATATGCTTTGTTTGAAAATTCCTGTCTTGTTTTCTGACGCTTTATGCTCATTTGAATACGGCTTGTCTCTACATACATTAGGTTGTTTGATATCTACTAAATTGAATTTATATTAGAGCTCAAGTCTGTAATGAAGGCCTAGACAAATCATGTGAACTTGTGAATTAATAAATTAATTAAGTAAAAGCTAATGCATTGCACAACATGGAATAAGTGCCACTAGGAGCCATTCACTTCTTGTGACAGAAAGGTCACAAATATAGTTGTATCATTACAGCTAATGTAGACAGGATATTATATTTTTCTAGTCTGAGGAAACATTTGCAAGCTGACCTAGAATCAGACCTAGAAGAAGCCGGGGAACTTTCACAGTTTCACTGAGATACAACTAGATATTTAAACATTTATACTACAACAAACAACAAAACAAATAAAAAAGACACATCTTAATTGAAGAATTTGAAATTCTAATGCAATTAAATGTAATTGTTTCCAGCTGTGGTCATTAAAGCCTTTTGTCTTGTTCTGAACTTAAGTATTATCCATGGGTACAGATAATGTTACCTTTGTGCATCCTAAAACACAGATGTTTTTGGACTTTGTCCCAATCACAACACTGTCTACCCTAAATAGTATGGCAGATACGTTTTTTTTCTGACTCAAATCATAGTATGTTGAAAATAGTATGCCAAAGGTGCCTGGATGGTACACTATTTCTGGCAGATTTCTGAAGTGCATTTGTGCTTTGTTTTTTTTGGGCTAATATTGCTCAAAACCCTTGTGTCCTCTTTTTAAATAACAAAAACAAGGAATGCAAGGCCAATCCTGCCACGTGTAAATGAACCTAAAAATTAAGCTAAGCTAATTGTGTAGCTTCATCCTAATGCGTACATTTAAATGCAAACAGTATGCAACAATACTAAACAAAAAATATCACAATACTGTTATTGTGTTTCTACATATTAAAAAAATAGCATTTTCCAATCACTGGCAAATATGTAATAGGAGTATGCAAACTGGGAAACATAATGGACAGTACTAGAGGCTATGTTTGAAATTGCATATTGCTATACTACTTGTATGCACATTTTATTGATGCTTCTCATATGCAAAGTAATAGGTCATGTGACGATTCAATGCCTACTATTTCACTTACTTAAAAACAAAAGCAAAAAAAAAAAAAAAAATTGTAGGCAGTATATAGTATACTGTGCCATATTCCGAAAGTAGTAAACTAGTATTTAATTCTGAACATAGCCTCAAATCACAAACAATGGGAAAGTGCTCACACAAGTAAGAATTAGTGTCACCTTGTGGCCTGGAAGGAAATGCGCTAATGGTAAAGTAAATCTTTTTTTTTTTTGGATTTTATAAATGCAATTTAATCTATTCGTTATAGATTAGATTATCTCTTGTGACCTAGCATTTATGTGTTAGGGTAAAAAGTGGTAGAAATACAATCCTAAAATGCCAAAAAATATTTAAATGAACACAGATAAATGGTAAATATTTTTTTCTTCTCTCTAAAATAGAGCTATGAGTAGAACTTGTAAACCAATCAGCCAGACAGGCTACATAAAGTTAGTCGCTACATAAGGTTATTCCCTTGTCATTGAGATTTTCTTAAGGCTTCTGTACAGGTTATAACAGTCCTCTGGATGTGTTAAAGTGTGTGTTTTTCATCTTGTTTAGAGAATCTTCCTCCACGTCTGACTATTGACTGCCTTGGTAAGTCTCTTGAGGAATCTTTTCCGTAGCCTGTTGTTTGTTTTGCCTGTTGAAGTAGGTAATAACATGGACACAGACATTTTGTTGACTTTTGAGTTAGAGCTTTACTCCATAAAACATAACATACTAACTTTAACTTTTTCCTCTTGTGTGTGTGGCAAATACTAACCTTCTATGCATTCCACTTGAGGCTTCTCCCACTGACCATCAGGTAAGCAGTGCACTACAGAAATGTGACGTTGTGTGAATCCGCTGTCACACTGGTATCGAATGATGGAGTTAGCAGGGTAGCGATCTTTCCTGATGCCTAACATCCTGGCATTCTTCACTTCAGGAGGTGATGAACATGTGACTAGAGTAAAACAAATTAAAACAAGAATAGTAGTTGCTTTGGATTTACAATATCCATTGGTAATAAACATAACATAATGACTGTAATGTCATTAAATAGCTATTGTGATGTAGCTATTTAATGAGCTCACATAGCTGATTAGGTGGGGCTGACTTGGTGCTGAAGTTAATGTCTATCACCTCTTCTTACCAGGCCCAATCTTGCAGGTAAAAGGAAGATGATAGTTGCAAGGTACATCATTCCACTGGCCATCCTCATGCCATATCATTACAACACAGTCTTCTCCTGTGCTGAAGTAATCATCTGGCTGGTTGGGTCTCCAGTTGTCATATTCCTGCAGAGAAAGTAGCACTAGTTGAAACAATGACATACTGCAGATGCTTCAGATCATAGATGTTACTCAATTCTGAGATAAAAAAAAATGTGGAAAAAGTTAGTCTTACCAAAGGACTTCCATCTGTCCAGCGAAACTGATTTTGTTCATCCCTGTCATTGAGTCCAATCCATTGATAGTCATGAGCTTGAGCTAGTGGGTTTAGAAATGTATAAGTGCTTTCAAAAAGCAGGTACTTATCTTTTATAAGAAATCAAATTCAACTCACTTCTTACAAACTCTTGTTCTTGTCGGGAGGATATGCTAACCAGGTGAGAGTTTAGCTCTTGACAGCGCTGCTCAGCACTGGTCCAGGTCTCACGCTCGTCAAAATGGATGTAACAGCTGCCCATAAACTCCACCCACCCCTCGGCACATCCCTGTATCACTGACAACACAAAAGAAGCAATGAATTTCTTATAGTTTTTATTATTTATTCTTTAAGGGGTGGCTAGTTACGTCAAACTGCGTTTCAACTCAGCTCTCTATACACTGTGCAGGGTTACATCTGGGTACTTCACTTGGCAAAATGTGTTCATTTCAAATACCCTAGTAAGTCATCATCATCATAAACATACACCCCCTTGGATTTATAGTTTCATGTTCAATTTCAATCTGTAGGACGTAGGAAGGAAGTATATATAGGAAGTAAAAAGACAGCAAGACAAAGGAAATAGAGATGGATGGTTAAATCTTTCCTTCGGACACAACAGATGCAGTACATAATATGATATTGCAGCAACAATATGCTCTGACATTTAACTTACGTGTTGAGCAGTTTTCCCCACTAAATCCTGGATGACACAGACATACTGCACTGCCATCTTGTAGAGAGCATAAACCTTGACCACAGGGGTTTGGGTCACAGGGGTTAGCAGAAGCTGCCAAAGATAGATAAATTCACCTTAATTTCCAAATGTTAATATGAAGGTTGTTGTACACTAGTTGAATAACAACAAAAGGATATTTTTGTTCAGTTATTACCATCAGTAACAGATGGCTCTTCCATAGCTTTTGACGTTTGTTCTGAAGGTGAAGTGGTGAATACAGTGGTGGGTGGTGTGGTGTTCAGAGGTGACTGATCAGACACATCAAACACTTGTGTGGTGAAATTAAGTTGCTCATTTCTTTCTGGTAGGACATCATCTGCTTCATTGGGATTCCAGTAATCTTCATATAAAGTTCTATTAGAAAGAGATATGGAGATCTCCTCAACATATAGTGCTTGACTACTGCCCTCTCCACTGATCTCCACTGATCCACGACCCTGTTCTGGTCCAATGGTAGAATTAAATAGCAACTCAAATACCTCATTCTCTATTAGAATGGCAATCTCTCCATCTTGTTTCTGAATGTGGCCAGACGCCTCACCCAAGGGATGACCAGAATAAGTTGAGGTTTCAGAGACGGAGCCAGATCCGAATCCAGAGGCAGATACAGACCCAAAGCCAGAAGCAGAGCCAGGCACAAATCCAGAGGCAGATCCAGACCCAAAGCCAGAAGCAGAGCCAGGCACAAATCCAGAGGCAGAGCCAGGCACAAATCCAGAGGCAGAGCCAGATCCAAAGTCAATGGCAGAGCCAGATCCAAAGCCAGAACCAGAGCCAGGCACAAAGCCAGAAGCAGAGCCAGGCACAAATCCAGAGGCAGAGCCAGATCCAAAGTCAATGGCAGAGCCAGATCCAAAGCCAGAGGGAAAGCCAGAACCACTAACATCAGTCCAGTCAAATGGGTTAATACCAGACAATTCCTGTTCTCCAGATGGTCTTGCAGTCAGATCAATCATTTTTGTGTCTATAAATGTCACATCTGACCCACTTGATTCCCCACCACTGAAGAATCCACTTCTTCCTGAACCGCTAATTCCACTGCTGAGTCCTGATGGAAGGCCACTAGCTCCACTTTGTGCTGGGAAGAGGCCAGACTCCTCTCCAGATTCTTGGTCCCCAGATTCTATTTCTAAAGCAATGATAGCACCACTACCACTGCCACTACCTTCTTTAGCCTCCGAAGCACTGCCTGAGGCAGAAGTCTGCCATATCAGTGTATCTGCACCTTCTTGGAATCTCACAAGGTGAACTGATCCCTCTCCACTTTGGCCAGAACCAGATGTGCTCCCACTGGGTATGCCACTCCCTGATATGTATCCAGAACTGGAATCAGGATCGCCTGATGCTGAGCCTGATCCAGATCCAGATCCAGACAGGTCCACAATCAAGGGAGGGACAATTGGACGTACTGTAACACAGATCACTGAAAGTAAGCATGCCTAAATATGACCATAATGCAGCATAAATTAGCAGTAGGAAGTGGAGAAATCAAATATATTTGATACCAGGTCTCAGCAGCTCTTGAAGGTCTGTCATGTTAAGATCCTTGTAGCTTGTACCATTCAACACATCCTCATCAAGGAGTATAGACAGATTTGCTGAAAAATAAATAAGAATCTCAGAGATCAACACCCAGTCTTGTCTTTCAATGGAAACTCGTACATGCAGGCTTAAAAGCTGTTATACCTTTGAAGCAGTATGCATCATATCTGGAGTATGGGTTTGGAAAGCCTGTTTGGTTTGGTTCAGCATAAATAGTGTGGACTCCGGTTTTGTTTTCACCACAACCGAAGCTTGGGTTGCGGACAGAATAGCGGACACTGCGATCAGCCAGCCAGCCAGGACTGCACTTGTGGAAACCCTGATTCCATGCTGCATATAGTTCTCCAGTTGAGGCTAGAGTAGAACCCAGTTTTCTGCAATGGGCAGCAGCTTCGTAGTAGGTGAAGCCTGCTAGTGAACTCACATGGAAGATCTCCCCTAAGGGATAAAGACCAAACAGCAAGATTATAGATGATTAAATATACAATATGTCAATTGTCATGAGTAAACTTCTACCCACCCTTTATTTGATCCATGTAACAGTAAACATCGTAACGCTCATGAGCAGGCCTAACATTGTAGGAGCGCACACCAGGGGTGTCCTCCTGATCTCCAGAGCACTTCTTTCGAGGATGCACAATTGGATACCTAAACACAATGTTGAATATAATAGATAGTGTCTGTCAACATGCCAGTATGTGAGCCAAGATTCTAGTTAAGTCAGCAGAAACAAATGGTGTAAGCATATAGTGTGGCATATAGTTGGACATATAGCGCACTACTTTGTGAAAAATATGTTTACCTGACAGTTTGGTCCTGTAGCCAACCTGCACTGCATTGATGAAGGCCAGCTTCATAAGCAGCCTGAAGGAGCTCAGGGGTGGCTATGACTGCTCCCAGCTTCTGACACGCCACTTGAGCTTCCTCAAAGGTGTAAGCATAGCGCCTCGATTCAGCCCGATGGTGGAATGTCACTCCCTTCGTTTCTAGGGTGATGAAAGATTTGGCCATATTTAATATTTGGGAACCATTTAGTGCATGCAATTTCTTTTTGGCTCAATAATTTAATGTTATGTCGGCATAAGATCCTTCAGTGGTGTGTGATGCATTGGCATTTACAGTGCTTAAGTTATGTGGCTATCTCACACATTGGTTCCAGTTTAGTTTACTTACTAGCTGTGACATTGTCCTTGGCAATCTCATATCCCAGATAAGGCAGAGCTGTGGCCACTTTGATGGCATCCTCCTCAACCTCAGTTATGTTGTAAGGTAGTAGGGAACTTTCTATGCTTGTGGTGTTAAGAGGCTCATCTGTAACCAGTTGCCCACGGGCCTCCCCTTCTGTGGTCACGTCTTCAGTATAGTCTGATGGGCTTGAGGTGACTGTAGCCACACTGAACATGGAATCGGTGGTAGTGTGTATTTCAGGATATGGTGAGGTCTTTGTGAAAACTTTATTAGTGTTTTCTGAAAAATAATTGGCAATCTTTGTGAGAATGTACACTCTTTTGAGTCATATCAGAACTTGGATCTGCTTGGATGCTCTATCATTGTCTATTCTTTGCAACTTCATGAAAAATGTTTTATTTGACCAATCAATTTTAAAGTTTTACTACATTTTCTTGGGATCAGGATAATCCTGTTTATCCAAAGTTATCCAAATCCCACTGACAAGTTTTGAACAACACAAACTGAAGGTTTGATACAGATTAAAACTAGGATTGGATTCCCTGATCTAATCTGATTTCAGATTCCTTCTTTCCCTTTTGAACAACCCATTTTCAAGATTTGATCCAATCCGATAACGAAAATCCGATCAGCTTACCTTTGAACAACTGGCCCATGGTAAGTTAATAGTATTTGTTTCATTTTTGAGTTTCTATTCCTTTAATGATTTTATGATATGATTGATCTGGAATGTGTAAATGATTTTAAATGATATAGCGAACAAAAAAAACAACAAAAAATGCTAAAACATGAAATACATTCTCTGTTCTTACCTTCATAACAGATTGCATCATAGCGGGAGTCTGGGTATGGATAACCAGTCTGATTTGGAAACAGGTAAACCGTTCTCACTCCCAAAAGCCCCCCACCACACTGGGGTCGAGCTATGTTAATGGGGTACCGCACACTCCTGTCTGCTAGCCAGCCAGCATTGCACACATCCATGCCGGTCTTCCATGCCAGGTACAGTTGCCCCGTGGTGGCTAATTGGGCTCCCAACTTTGAACACTGATCTTCAGCCTCTGCAAAGGTGAACTTCTCCACTGACATGGAGTAGAAAACCTTGCCTGGATGATGAGGAGAATCCATAAAGTAAAACAAACGTACCAACTAGATATATTTTTGTTTTGGAAACGTTGCCTGAGGTACCTGACATTTTTTCTGCAAAACAGTACACATCATAGGTCTCATTGATGTCTCGGACTCCATATGTTCGTACCCCTGGAAAATTTTCTTTGTCTCCATAGCAAGGCTCCCTTGGCTCATGAATAGGATACCTATTGAGAATGAATGAGATTTTTCTATAGTTCCTTTGTATTGATTGTGCATTGACTGCTTGTCGTTTTTATTTATATAGTTATTAGATATTGACCTTTTCACATTACCTCACAGTTTGATCTGAAAGCCAGCCGGCATCACATTGATGGTACCCATCATCATAGGCAGCTTGCAACTGTGCGGGAGTTGCAATAGCAGCACTGTTCTGGATGCAGGCTGCTTTTGCCATCTCAAATGTCAATGTATATCGGGTAGAAATAGCTCGGTAGTGAAACACAATACCTGTAAAAATGTGACCCATTAATTTAATTCTCACTTTCTGTTTGTTAAATGTCGTTTATTTTGCCTGAAAAGTTTGAAAGTGCATTACCTTGAACTTGCATCCCCACTGAATCATAGTTATCTTCAATCCCCTGCATGACCTCACACCGGTAGGTGCCAGAGTCACTGGAGCGGAGTTCTGAGATCTCAATGGTAGCATCAGTCGGCACCATGGGGTAGTTCACCATATGAACCCGGTCCAAGTAGTCGGTCTGAACCTGCACCAAGCCACCAGAGGCAACCAGAATGAGGGATATTTTGCCCTTGTAGATGTAGCTCCACTTAATACGGTGGGACAGTGGGGCGATGGTTGGGGCACCAGGGTCCTGGACAGTGTTGTCCAGAAAGTAGCAGGGTATGACCATGCTCCCGCCAAGTAGGGGTTGCAGTGGCTGTTCCACAGGGATGCTCACACTGAGGGTGCTGTCCTGATCTGCACAACATAACTTTTTGAAATTCTCATTCACTTAAAAGAAATGAAACATAGCTATCCAAAATGCACCAAATGTTCACCTACCAGCCATGTCTCCGAACAATATATTGCCATAAATGGCATGGATGCATGTATACAGCAGAAGCCAAGTCAGAGACATGATTCACCTTAAAAAAATACAGAAAAAGAGTAGTTTAATTCATACTTTTAGGGGTACAACAGCTTTTCAATGGGGCAGTACCCTTAAAGACAAAACTTTGTTTCGTATAACGCTAGAAGTTGCATATTAGTATTTTGGATTCCTGGCTTAAGGTACTACTATGAACCCTTTAGGGGTAGATAAGGTACACATGTTTCTTTAAAGAGTAACTAAACCCTAAACCAACTTTTTTTAGTTAGATCTGTATGAATGGATACCAGTCGTTGATTCGAGTAACTTTTTTTGATGTTTGTGTATGAAGGGTTTTATTTCTACAATATATGGTGTAAAAACATCTTAGTGCCGCCCTCTTCAGGTTGAACGGTGGCTACTGCAGTTGAATTTTCCTATTGGATGTTCCGCACTTCGTGACATACGCAGGTTTCAGCTCACCATGCTCTTGGTATGAGCGGCAGTATAAAAACCAGCTTGTTTCGTGAAAACCACTTTAGCGAGTCAGGAGTTGGAATTGCGAGTATTGAAAACGATCAGGATAGAGTGTTTTAGCATCTATTTCGTCCCCTCTATCTCCGCTGGGGTCTGCCCACTTTTTCAGCATTTTTCAAATATTGCCAGTGGGTGGAGTCAGGCTCTGACCGGGGGTTTAGTTACCCTTTAAAGATACTGTCCTAGTGACAAGATGTTGTAAAGGTGCAAGTTTTGCTCTTTTTTTTTCTGAGCATGTATCCAGGGCACACTGAACTGTGCAAATCAAGTCATTTCAAAGGGAGTTTCCCTGATTCCGAGTCTTCACACGGCCTGAGTGACTGAGCTACTGTACTCTAGGTGGAAATTTGGAATAGATTGGAAACATGACGTCATTAATTCACTCTTCCATTGAAATGTTCACACATACACTCTTTCTCCCCCTGTCTCACTCTGTCTCTCTTTAGAAGAATAGTTCACTGTTTGTGCAACAGGAAGTGTTCTGAGCTTGGTAAGTTGAATTTTAATCAATGGCTACTGTCAAATCTGCCTGGGGAAAAAAGCAACAATATTTTCTTGTATGATATGTAAATGGCACCGTTAAATTTGATAATGAACACAGTGTATCATTTACCACTTTGCCTAATTTTTCCCTCTTGGCAGTTGCACAGGTTTTCTGAATCAGGCTGTTTTAAATGCACTGAGTGACTGTAGGAGACCTCCATCCTGGCACGGCCCTGAAGCAGCTTTTTATCTCCCACCTCTAATGCCTTACTTCTGTTTTACTGGACTAGAACTAAGAACAAAAGACCACTTCCTATACAAGTAATTGAGACCTTGAGCATGCTTTCACTGGTTTATATTGCACTGAGAGACAAAAATCTGTAGTCGCTGTAGCTTGGGTGTTTTGTTATATTTTAATCTATTCTCTTTCCAATAGATTCTGAAATGAAAGTATGTTTTTCACACACATACACACAAATAGGTTGTGTGAGGTGAGAAGCGCTACATTCAACATCTGCTTAATAGACGGAAATATGTTAACTCAGCTGTCTGAGGTGAGTCATGGAGGATCTCCTCAAGTTTACATTCTATTCCAGAGGAATAAATAACGTCCCACAGTGAATAAATGATGACTTTGCTTTTTTACAACCAAAATGGACTGTTTCAAATCAGGATGTATAAACTGCATTTTATTAATATGAATACTTTTAATTACAAATGACTTCTTTATAAGTTTATCTGCTCACTCAATAGCTCCAACTCTAGTCTTAAAGTCAGCTGTGTCTTGCCTTCTTTAAAATGACCAGTCACATTTGCCTTTCAAAAGCCACTTCACGTCTACAGTTATATTCTGGTCTTGTCAAGTGGAGGTGGAGAGAGGACTTCCACAGTATCTCCATTCAGCCGGTGTGGTATGTTCTCTTCCCATCAGGCTCAGGCCAATAAGCAGAGTTCTGTTCCTGCTGTGGTCTGTGCTCATGTACCCAGGCCTGCGTTAAAGCCAATGTAAACACTCCGCTGTATTCCACAGGAGGCCCTAAATGGCCAAACCCCCAAGAGAGCCACAGAACCAGAACACTGTCCACATTCAATACACACAGTGGCAGGTAAGCAAGCCTTGTACTGTAATATGTTACAGTGAAAGTATGTCATGTTCATACATGAACATACATACAGTGTAAGCTTTTGGCATGCGTTTGGTCATAGATCACAACTATTATGCACACTTGCAATCCGTTTCGAAAGGTAGCTTCACCTACGACACACCTTGCCCAGCCTTATCAGGAGAATTTTACTTTCAATATTAAAAGTTAGAAATATTAGCTAATGTTTAAAATGCAAATTGTAAAGCTACAACAAACATGTTGTCATGAAATTGTATAAAAAAGATACAAAGGCCATTTGCACCCATAAACCAAACCTCAATGTAATTACTTGGACGAAATGAATGAAAAAGGATAGATATTAATATATATATATATATATATATATATAACCATATAATTTAAGTTGAATTTGAATATTGAATTTTATCTTTCTAATCACATGCTTTAAAATTGAATATTAATAAAATAATGGGATTTGAGAAGTAATCAATAAAACTGTAATTTAATACTGACCTTAATGGACTAAAGCGCATACATATTAAATAATGCATTTACTGTATGAACTCAAACTTTAAGCTACATCAATATTAATAACTATTAATAATAATAATAATAATAAACTTACCAAACTAGTATTGTCCCTTCTTGCTTGTCTTAGTTGTTCTTTTCAGTGTTTTTGTGTCTTGCATTAATCTGTTGGTAAATTTATAAATTCCAGTGTTTTTGGACTGCTTGCCTTCCCTGTGTGAGTCAGGAGCAGAAAGGGCTCTAATTCAAATTGGGCACAAGTTTAGTAAAGTGAGTGGGAGAGAGAGAGACGGTAAAGGGTAGAGGGAGGCAGAAAAATGGGAGTGGGGACTATTGAGTGCCCTTGAGTGGCATGTTGAATTTTCAAATCACAACTTTAGGGGAGACTGCGTTGATAGGCTAGAGGATTTGATTGGCACAGGATTCAGTTCTGGGTCATAATAGGATGTTTTCACAAAAAAAAAGTTATGAGCTTGTCCTCTTTACCTACAATCATTGATTCAAAAATAAAAGTTCAAAATTTCTCAAAGAAAGGATATAACAGTTACTTGTTAACACTGAATGTGTCTGGGTATTTCATTTTCATTTGCATTTACACTTTAAAAAAAAAGGATGGCTTTAAAAAAAACAACATTTTTGGGTTATTTGGCAACCCGGTGCTGGTGAAATATTGGACAGAGCACATGCTGGGTTATTTTGACCCAGCTTTTTGTTTTATACATTAACCCGTTTTCTGGGTTATAACATAGTGCCAGGTCAATCAACCTTGAACATTTTTCATTTGAAATAATAAAAATGCACTCTAAAAACAATGTTGTATAATATAGGACAGGGACAAATCGTATAAAATATGTTTTATTCAATGGCAAGTCGGTCATTTACGTACAATAATAGGAAAATACTTTAGGAAGTGACAGAACCAGCGAATGGGAATCTGTGGGAAGAAAACTGGCATCACTGTTCCAGTTCAATCTTATACTTATATTCATATTTGCAAATCCGCATCAAAACAGCTTTACCTTTTGCGATCTCATCTCTCAGACATTTAGATTTCAACCCATGAAACAAATAACACATCTGCGATGCTATAGTGCATTAACGCTCCCATGTCTCACTACAGACGTGTTCCTATTTGTACCTTTGTAATTTGATAGAAAAACACTGTAATACGACCTTTAAATTCATTCTGGAAATTTCCACTCAGGATGTTTTCTGAACCAGTTTTAACTGGTTTGGCACAGACTACCCAACCTTGGGTCACATTGACCCAGCACTGAATAGGTATGTGAGGGGGTTCATCATTTGTATTGACAGTAAAAATTACCCAGCAGCTGACTTATTAAAAATAACCCAATAAAATGTTTGTTATATTAGAAAATCAACAATGAATGAAAATTGTTCCAATGAACCCCAATTTCCCTTTAAGTTTCATACCAGTGTTTAAGATGATATATTTGTCTTATTTGTCAACAGTTTATGAGTCTTCATCATCAGGTGGGCTTGAATATGATGACTCTACTTTGGAAATATATGTCAAAACTTCAGTTTCCTGTGCAGTACCGGTTTTATAGCTCTATTGCGGGCCTTTGGTGTGGTATATTTAGGGACACTGGAAAAGCTTGCAAGAATCTCTCAACCAAATATCAGTCTGCGTCTGATGGTGCTGGAATTTCACAGTTCAAACTTTAAAGTGCTGACTCACCAACTTTTTCTGCAAGTTTTTGAAGTGTGAGATACTCTCATATCCTTATATGGGTAGAAACTTCCTTTGGCCGATAGGTATTTTATATTCTTCACAAACCCAACCAAGTTGATTATCTTGGTTACAGCAACTGAACTTGCTCGCTATGGCGCATAAATTAATCAATAAAACAGTGTGATAGAATTATAAATAAATGGGAATATAAATGAGAACTTATTGTTTTAAACCCATGAACCCTGTCACAGGCAGTGTGATAAGACTGGCTATGTTAGAGAAAACTCTACAACGGCCAACATTTCAGACATTTAACAGAATTGCTTGGATACACTTTGAATGTTTTCTTCAGAAATTCCCATAGGAAACATTTCCCTCTGGTACTTTCTACAGCCACATCTTATAATGTCCTAAGAAGGGACCTGTAATGCCCTGGTACACCTCATTACATGCAACGTATACAAAACCTGCAATATATTCACATGTGTGAACTATAAACCATGTGTGTAAAATAAAAACTTAATTACCTGGAAAACCCCGGAGGGGTCAAACGAAAACATATTGTGTCTGGTCACACAAACTGTGCTTGTTGATTCTCATACTAGCACATTGTTTCTCTGTGTTGCTACTTTACGAATCGAACAACCTTAGGGGTCTCACGAGTAACCGCTTAGGTTTATTTCTAAATATGTTCCAGAAGTCAGTGAATTGCAGGTATTGTCTGGGCTTAGGGGTGAAAAGTTGACCCGTATAACATGCTTAGTTTATAACTGTTGTAGTTTAGTGAAGTTTGATGGGGTGGAGGGTGGGGGAGTTCACTAGGGACAGGATTTCACTCGCCCCTGGAGACTAGTTAACGGTTATGAACAGGCAAAGTGGTGACATCATCAAAATTGCAATATCAATACATGTGTTGTACTGCAGGTTTAAATGCTCTTGAATGTGTACTCTCATTTGGAGTTTATGTGTGTGCATTATTTTTTATTATTTTATAAATTGTATCACAGTTTATTCAATAGAATGAATTATTCTTGCAATTAAATGATTTTCCCCCCATATATTTTACAATGTAATTTATTTATGTGATAGTAAAGCTGAATTACCAGCATCATTATACCAGTTTCCAGTAAGTTTCACATGATCCTTCAGAAATCAGTCTGATTTTCTGCTCAATTTTTTTTTTGCGTATTAGAGCCTGACCGATACAAATATTTGTTGGTTTTAAAATCCGATATTCCGATATATCGGCCGATATATACAGTATTTTTTTTCTCTGAAACGCGCAACAAAACATTAACAGATTTCCCTAACATTAGTTATGTGTAGTTATTTATGAGTTTTAACTAAAATATGATAATGCATTTTAAAAAGAAACTTGTTTCTTTTATTGTCACAACAGAACAGACTGATGATCGTGGCATTAGCTAGTTTTGTGGTAGTCTATGATGAGCTTACAAACTATACAACTCCAACACTCATGACATGGTTCAAGCGTGTTTCATTCGTTTTTATTTTATTTTTGAAATATTCATTTATCGGCCATCATAACTGCCGATCCCGATAGTTTGGAAATATCGGCCGATAATATTGGCCTGCCGATATATCGGCCTGGCTCTATTGTGTATTATTATCAATGTTGAAACAGTTGTACCTCTTAATATTTTTGTGAAAAAGCTTTAAAAGATGTCATTCAGACCATCATGACACAGTATTTTTTTGTTGACAGTAGGAGCCCTGATTGCAAATCGGCATTTTGCTCTCTAAAACGAAAACGAGAAGCACATATTCATTCAAGTGAATTTTGCAGACCGCAGCGTTTTCTTTGAGGTGACAAATTTCAGGTGACAAGGATTGATGCTTCAGTTTTTGTTTGGGATTAGGGTCATCATGGGATAGAAACATTTTGTTCTCAAATGACTGAAATATGGCTTAGAACTTCTACATCTTTTCTAATTGTGTAAGCATACATGTAGTTCATTTTAATATACTAATGTAATTTAATAAATCATAAAATCAGCGGCCTAGTTGTCCCTGATGTAATTGCAGAGGGGCCATACATTTTATGAAAATGTCATGCAAGTTATTACGTAAAAGAAATTGCTTACATTAATGAGTATATTTTGTTCTAGATGTTCCCTGAGGATTGTTTGAAAAACCATATGAGGGTCCATTGCTGTTTTTGAGGAACGCTGGCATAAAGGACACCGTGTAAGAGGTGAAGTGTACTAATAGCTCTAAAATGGTCATAAAATGAAGAGATACACACTGTTAAGATAACGTAAGACCTTGACCAACCACCAAACCTAATATTTGTTTGATCTCTTTATGACTAATTCTTGCCAATGCAAGTAGGCTTATCTTCGCATTTAGCTCCTGGCAAATGAGTAATGGAAACAGAGTATTCATAGTGCACAAAAATACTTGATGTCTGCTTCATGTCTTAATTTGGCTGCCCTGAAAATGTCTTGACAATTTTTGAAACGTTTAAAGACCTTATAATGTACTGAGCCTTCCCAAACTGGCCTCTCGACAACACTCTATGTTACACATCTCAAGCTAAAAATATATATATATATATTTAAAATTATTTTATTCATTATTATGTGTGTGTTGATTGGAAACACCCCTTATTTACTATGGTGAACCGATTGACATGTGATCCATTGTGATTGTACATGCTGTAGTGAGTCACACACACCTGATTGTCCTCTTTGACCCCAGCGCAGATCTTAAACCCAAACTCTCAAAACTCACCCCAATTTGATGCAGGGCAATCTGCCCTGGATTTGAACAAGCTCGCATTGACTCACTTCCCATTTCTCCTGCTCAACAGGGTATTGACACAGCTTTTCGGTGTCCGTTAAGGGGGAGGAAAGAAGTCTTTTTACTGGATTTCGTTTAAATGAATGGAGGTATTATGCAGATGTCACACCAACGGACCCCTACTGATGTATATGAGCTTTCAGTGGTCAACTGACGGGTTACAGAGAGGTTATTTTTTAAACGAATGTATTAATGTGAATTAAAGTAACATTTATGCATGAAGTCAGAATATAAGATTAAAATGATTTCCTAAGCTAATAGCTTGGCATTTACACAAATTATTAAATTGATTTATTTTTATTATTATTTATTTGTTTCATATTTATTTAATGGCTTATAATTTGATTTAATTCTTAGAAATAATATGTAGACAGTAAACATGGCTTATGGGCATTTATATTTACACTACAGTCATTTGCAAACATTGATTCTTTACAAAGCCATTAATATAATAATTATTGATGTACAGAGTCTTAGGCCTACTACTTCTACATTACATTTACACTTTACATAAAGTACAAAATTTAAATATTGTATTTATTTATTTATTTTTACAAATGATTACCTAAGCTAGCTGTTTATGGTTCAGTTAAATAAAAAAAAAAGTTTGTTTAAGGTCAGTTCACCATTGGTTCCCTCTGCTATTTCTAATGGGTTTTATGACTACAAACTGAACAGCTATTTGTTTGCTAGTATAGCTATAATTTAAGGTTTTGCATATGATAACATGGTAGGATCATGATAATTGTAGCTATACAGTACATAGATCCTCATAAGGGTCAGTTTTAATGGGCTGCTATACGTAAGCCACATATTGGAGCAGTCAGTGAACATTCGAGAGCTGTCTATGGTATAGGCTAGCACTGTTTTATTGTAGTAAGCATTGTAGAAATGGTGATTTTTAAAACAAAATAAGGCCTCTAAATGATCAACATGATCCAAACTTTGCTGAAAAACCACAAAGTTCTACATGTCTGATTAGTAGGTCATACTTTTTTGGTATTATAAAACAATATAAATAGGCTACTGTTCGTTTTCTCACACAAACCGCTCGTTTTGTGTCTTAGGTAATGTGTACTTACATTTATGAGTCATTAGATCATGTTTAATTTGGACTTCTCTGTGCATGCTCTTTGAGGTGGACCCATTATATGACTGACAGACAAGAACGGTTTGACCTAAAAATATCAAATTTGAAAATACTGTGGAAGCAAAGACACCTACATCTTGGATGCCCTTGTGGTAAGCTAAAACATCAAAAATAAATTTCAAAGTGAACTATCCCTTTAAAGGGTTAAACGAAAGCTGTTGTTTCGCCCGTCCTGTAGGAGGCAGTCATCCGCGTGAAGTTCCCGTGTACCAGAACACGAAAGACGGCGCTTTCTGTCAAATGTTTTCTGAAGGTAAATTCACGCTGCGAAGCCCAAGTTTCACACTGACAGCAGACGAGGAAGTCAAACACTGTCCGCGACCGAGTTCCTCTTACAAGAAAGTGAGTATCCTTCAGTATGGACCTGCATGTTTAAGTCTTTTCTGTTTATTTGTAACGCTCCTAAAGTTTATGTTTGTAGACATATTCTGTGTGAGTGATGGAGCAGCCTGCAACACTTGTTTGACTTGTCATTTCGAAACGATACGATGCGATGACAAGAGGATGTTGTATTCATAATTCTGTTTTGCCCAATATAATCACTATTTTTTTGGTCCATAACTCACTTTAGTCTTAAATCGTGTCTTTTACTCGTCATTATGTTTAATTGCACAGAAACAGATGCATAAGAGCTGTCAGTTACGACTCCTTTTCCTCATTGGTCCATCTCACAGCATGGCATTCGGGCTCCGTGTTCCCTGGCCTCCTCTGACTACTTATGGCAGTGTTAAAATGCAGTCATCAGTCTGACAGCTGCAGATCTCAGTCCCCACACTATGTTTGATCATGCTGTGCTTTTGCAAGGCATGCTTGTGTTTTTGTGGTTATTTAATTTGTGAGAATTGGTACTGTACTGTATGTATGTGCCAGTTGCATGCCTGGGAAAGCGAATAGTGTCCTGAAAATGGTAACAAATCTCAGTAAATGACCAAAGAAACACTTAAATGGATAGTTCATCCAAAAATGATAATTGCTTCCTGTATGGCGTTCTGTCTTCTGTGGGATTTAGGATATTAATCATTATGTCAAAGTTGCTCTTTTTTCATATCATGGTTTGGAATGACATGAGGGTGAGTAAACGATGAATGAAATGGCTGATATGCTATGCCAGATGGTCTTAGTTTAATCCTATCCTACCCCCAGCATATTTTAGATTTTTTTTTTAATTATCTAGTTGCATTGTAGGATAGCAAGGATTCTTACCATAGACTGGTAATGGTTAACTTGTTAGTTAATTATATACCATTTTGGACCACTTGGGCGATTTAGCACTCTTCATTTTCTGCAACTCCAAGCAAATTTGCTTGTTTCTCCATTTTTACTACATTATTAATAAGTTGTGCACAATTTTATCATTGCAATCCTGTATACATTTAACTTACAATGTATCAAAGGAGGAACTCACTCCCAGGCCGATTTTGTCCTTACATTCTTGCAAAAATAACTATTATGCAATAATAATAATTCTGGCCCTCCCTCACTGCTGGTTCTGAAACCGGTGGTGCTGCGGGTCTGCAGCCGGATATATCTCGCAACATTACACACTAACTAAAGTTAGAAAAGTGAAATCATATTCAACCACCCATTTAATGATAAATAATGTATGACATAAATAACCTTTTAAATAGTGGCAATCCTCCCAGTCATAATAAAAGCAATTTACAGGATATGATCTCAAAGGTCAATGGCTCTTCAAGTGTCTGCTGGACTGCTGCTGTAGATACATCACAGGATTATATTGGCATAAAATGTTCTGGCCTCTGATTTGTTTTCTATGACGTAAGGCGGAAATTGGCACAGAGTCATAAATTGTCTTGTTATTGGGAAGTGAGAGGGTCTGTGGCTCTCACCATTGGAAAAAGGGTAATGGCTGGTTTGGATGACATGAGGCATCTCAGCCTATCATATAATGGCATTGACGTCAGTGGCTAGCGTTCAGAGATTTGTGTTCATCTTGTGAATAAATGTTCTATATTTGGTGTTTTTTCGCTAGTAAGTTATAGCTTACACATCAAGGTAAAATCGACATATTAGTTCCCATGAAAGTATTGTTTAGTGTAAAACATGTTGAAGATTAGCAAACAGGCTGTCGATTCATTAGCCTAAATGATAAGCTATTTCCTCACAATGGAAAAGCCGGAGCGGTAACTTTTTTGGCTAAAGGTTCGTTGCAGGCTTGCCTTCAAGTGGCTTTGACTGAGTTGCTCTGATTTGGAAACAACAGATGCCGTAAAGAGACAGTTCACCCCAAAATGAAAATGTTCTCGCCATTTAGTCATCATGGTCGCTGTGTTCCAAACCTGTCTGTCTTTTTCTTCTGTGGGAAAAAAAAGTCAATGGGGTCCAAGCTAGGGATGAAACGGTTACCGGTTTGATGATAAACCAAACACAAAAAAAATTCCTGATGGTGACTAGTACCATTACTGCTTATTTAATTTGTTGTTTGTGGCATTTCAGTATAAAACTTGGTGAAATGGTTTCAGTTTGTGTATTAGCACTTTTAAAAAATATTTTAAAAATACAGTGATGATATGATAACCGTGATTATTTTGGTCACAATAATCGTAAAGTGAAATTTTCATTCTGTTTCATCTCTCGTTTGGCCCCTATTGAACAAAAAAAATGTAATTTTATGTTCCACGCAATGAAGAAATGCATGCTGGTTTGGAACAGCGAGAGACAACACAGCACCATCAACTCAACCAACAACACGTGTTTGGGGCGGAGCTATCTGATTGTCCGACCAATAGCAGATAGGGTTTGTGTTCAGAAGCATTTTTTGCAATTGCACAAATGCCTTCACTTTTAACAAGGCTGGATAGATGTAAACATGAATGAAATCTGTACACTTAAGGATGAAAAATGAATAAACATAGTATGTGGTATTCAACATACACTTCAGCACTTACTTTGAAATGTTTGCATAACACGAAATCTAGATTGCACAACAGAAGAAGGCAGAATTGTCAAATGTATTATATAATACCCAAGGGAGTTTTTGCCAGCACCTCGTTTTGGTTTCTGATCAACGTTGTGTCCGTTAAGTTGTTCATAAATCTTTCAAAAGGCTTATGTCTTCATATTACCTTGTAAAGATATTGGACTTTGTTGCTTTAGCTGTAAGTGATAGTAACAGCTATTTATGAGTTTGTTTATCTCTGTATGTGTTTTGCCTGACCCTGGGTCGCTGTAGACGGCTTCCTCTCAAACTTAATGTTCCCTGTCAACACGTCCACAGCTTGATGAGTTATCTTTGGAAGCCGTAGGCCTCAGCATTTGATCCAAGTATCACCCCTCCCCCAGATTCACCTCAGCCAGTGACCTGTGGCTATTATTGGGCCCTAAGTCACATGCAAAGCTTTTAGCGTTTGAAATTTGTAGTATTCTTAAAATGTGCAAAATAAGCAGAGGAACACATCTCCTTCATATCTGGATGGCTTGATGTTTGATTAGAGGGATAGCTAGCATGGCGTGTATCAGCATGGTATGGAAATATGATATGAAACTGCATATGCCTGCAACAGTGCATTCTTTTCCGTGCAGTCAGCATACTGGGAAGGGTGGGCCAAGTGTAACTATAAGATTTGTTTAGTTTAACTATGTAAGCATTTTTATTAGCATTATTAGTGGAACTTGCTAAGCCAAACATTTACATTTATTTTTCCTTATATGCACTATGGACAAGAATGATATCCTAGCAAAACCTTAATCACCCACAACACTCTAGACTAGCAAACACATAGCAATGCAGAATTATGGTGGCACGTTTTCCCTCACATTTTGTCCTAAAATTTGAAATATCTATTTGTGGGTTTCACAGATGAGCTGGCTTAAGCTAGTCTCAGACTAAAATGCATGTTTAAACGGTCTTAAGCAACTTTTATTGTCTCAAGGTGCACACCAGTAATTTAAAAGCTACTTAAATATCTCCTTGCTTAATCTAAGCCTTGTCTGTGAAACCAGGCCATTGTTTTACTACTCTTTTGAATGTATAACATCTGCAAAATCAATACATATTCAAGAAAATGTGCTAAAGGTTACTTGCATGTTAACATAACATAGATCATGCAATCATCAACATGAAACATTTGTTGTATATTGTAAATGAATAGAATGTAGAATATAATGTTAAAAAGACAGCATATATTTG